ATTGAAAGTTTAGAATCCACACTTTCGAGAGAATGTGTCCATTTATTTCAGTGAGCTGCATGAGAAATAATTAATAAAAAGTTATAGCATGTTTTTGTAATCGCTAGCACTAACTGAGACTTCTAAAGGTTAATTATCAAGAAACAGGCATAACAGAGAAGGAAAACATACTGTTGTGGGACTACTATCCATGAGGAGTGGGGCTGAGTTACAGAATATCAAATTCATGAGATTCACAGGAGGATTATTCACATGAACATGTGGCCCAACTTGACAAAATTAAAAAGACTAATACTTAATGTTTTCAATTTCGTTTTGCTGGAATATACAAGCAGTGATGCCTGGAAAAATGATTAAAAACAAACCTCAGTGATTTTATTGATTCTAAACCATTTTTTGGAGTAACCTTTTCTAATTTAAGAGACCAAATTCTCTTAACTGAATTTTTCAAGTATTATTAAAAAATATATATTTTGCAAAATGTTTTGCAATTTTTTCTCACTACGACAACACACTGACAGCCATTTTATTTTTAACTTGTGCCACATAACACTGTTGTTTTAGTTTCCGTCCTTACAGTTTACAAAGAAAACATTAAGAGACTCAACAGTTAAAAATAATACAAACACGTTTTTGTTCAATGAACAAAGGCAGAAAAATGATAATATATAATAGGTAATGGGAAATACATATCTGGACACATTTAGGTAATAAGAATTAGAGTAAAAAAAAAGCAAAAAATAATTTAAATAGAAAAATGAACTTATTTCTGTACCTTATAAAGCTCCAACTGGTTTACTAAATGATATGATGATATGAATCTGCCTGATGCTTATGACGCTCAATATTTACAGAGATGTTTTGAGGCTGTTTCATTATGTGACTGCGATACTTTGCAACCTATTAAAAAGCAGTGATGAACCTAAATGTGCGACAAAGACTGACCTGCATTATTTTGACAAAAAAATTGTTTACTATTGTTTGATTACATGAATACCTTGATTCATCAATACCCCCACAGAAACACTCATCTGGAGGTTTCCTCTGCATAGATATCAATATCATAACATCCCCTATTGTGATTATGCTTTACAAACACCTGATAATTAGCAACTTTTTTGGTTGTGGCATCACCAAGATTCAAACTCGCCATCTCCCAATGATAGGGTAAAACCTTAGATGGCTGTGTCACTTGGGAGCCCAATATGAGTATGAATAAGACCCTTTGTTTAACTATGGCAACTAGTATATTTAAACACAAAACACCATCATAATTTAAATAACAAAAACATATCCAAAATATCCAAATGTAATCACTGAACATGAGAACAAGTATTTAAGTATTTAAGACTGTGAGTTTGTGTTTTTCTTTGCATTTAGGAAAAAGTGCCAGTGTATCAGTTAGTGAAGCACTGTTTAACAAATATAAGAGTATAAAATTAAAATCTAAAATCTAAATATAAAATGTTATCAGCCAAAATTATAGCCTTCTGGCTCATCAGTCCCTTAAAATCGGTATCAGCCACAAAACGTTCATATCGGCTGGGCCCTGGTTTACACACAGCGTTCACTATCAATTCACCTTCACTGAAGTGAGCAGTAAACTCTCTATGTGGCTGTACTGGATCGAACTATGTTGACATCTGATGTGTGAAAGTGATATTTTTAGTGAAGGGCAAGGCTGTCAGGGCAGTTCTCAGGGCAGACAGCATCCTGTTGGCCTGGCTTAACCACATTCCAGTCTGTTTAGGGATACTCTACTCCATATGAATGAGGCACCTTTCATCGCAGGTGCCCACAGGTATTGTGTGTATTTTTAACTCTGAAACATACCAGAGTAATCCAGAGTCACGACTCATTTAATGACTATTTAATGACACATTAAACAGCGCACACAGAGATGCAGATAAGTAGTGTAGTATAGAGTACTGTATGCAGCAGCAGCATAAATAGGACATTAAATTATTCCCCATTTGAGAGATGTGGAACATCTGGTTTCAGCACCTCTGGCAGAGCGAGATAGGAGAATGCATGCATAGCGGGATGGAGGGATTGATGGATGAAGGGATGGAGCGAGTCCCATGATAAATGTAAGAGAAATGGAGCTCGCTGTTTTCTGGGGCAAACCTGAGGCACGGTTAGAAGAGAGGAGGGGGGTGGGCTCACAGCAGAACAGCAACTCCACATAAGCTCTCTTATTCTTTTCCCTCCCTCTCTCTACCCCACTGCCTCTCTCTCACAGCGACCCTGTAGGGAACTCTACCATTTGGAGTTGGTAGTGGAGGTGTTTGACTGCGAGAGCGAGAGAGGTCAGACAGACAGTCAAGATAAATGCGAAAGGCTGCTATGGCACAAACTGACCAGACCCAACCACTTACTGTGTGCACACACACGCACACACATACCCCCACCAAAGGCCAACACACTCCTTACATTGATCATAACATGATGCTAAATCTTATCACCGCCTTATAAACACATCACGGTACATCACACATCTACTAAGGCCTGTGCCGATAACAGAATTTGTGTAGATTCGGGGTATTAAACCAAAGCTTGCGAAGGTCCAGTTGCATTAAAGGTCCGGATAAACAAACTAACACGAATGAATAGTGACGTTTTCAAGTGACGAACTAATAAAGAATGGTGGTAAGTTTAACACTTTAATGCCCATGTGTCAAACACAAGGCCCGCTGGCCAAGTCACAGACCTGTGACTTTTTTTTTTTAGCCAGCGAAATGATTTTAATTTTCTATTCTTAGTAGCCCGTTTCACCCTGAGATGCACTACAGTCCCCAGCAGGTACTGCAACACAGTGTACATTCTGAACCCTTTCCCAAAAAACAATCTATGGGTCAGTGGCGGCAGCATGGTGGCGCAGTGGGTAGCGCTGTTGCCTCACAGCAAGAATGGCCTGGGTTCGATTCCCGGCCGGGTGACCAGGGTCATTTCTGTGTGGTGTTTGCATGTTCTCCCCGTGTCTGCGTGGGTTTCCTCCCACGGTCCAAAGACATGCAGTCAGGCCAATTGGACGTGCTAAATTGCCCCTAGGTGTGAGTGAGTGTGTGTGTGAATGTGTATGTCTGTCTGTCTGTCTGCCCTGCGATGGACTGGCGACCTGTCCAGGGTGTATCCTGCCTTCCGCCCAATGACAGCTGGGATAGGCTCCAGCACCCCACCGCGACCCAGAAGGATAAGCGGTTTAGATGATGGATGGGTCAGTGGTTACACAAAAAGAAAAGATGTATAATTTAAAAAAACTGTTGAAAACAATTCATTTTTATTTAGAAATATTTTTGAATAAGTATTGAATGCCTATTTTGCTATTGCAGTTTTGGCATATTTTAAATATCAATGGCCCACAGTGCATCCAAGAATAAAGGCAGCATAGAGCTTCTTTTATACAGTGAGATAAAATACAGTAGCACACAGAATGCTCCTATTCTGCATGCTGATCCATTTCACTATGGCCAGCTGGGAACAGATTTAATGAGTTAAAGAGGACAAAGTCTCTCAGTGTATCACTGACAACATATGTAAAACTTGTTAAACTGTGTTACTACATATGAACAAAATAACAAAATCTATTAATATGACCACATAAGGCTGTACAATGACAGCAGTATAAAGCCACTGTACTTGTAGGCCCTAACTGGAAATTCTCACTAATTTGCAGCATGGTGAGACACTGAGAGAACAATGTCAGACCATGCAGTAGATCAGTCAGATTGCAGGGCAGCTGCTTTGAAAAAATTCAAGCTGATCTGATCCCTCGCCTGCTTTGATAGGTACGGTCCCTGCAGGGTTTTGTATTTTATACTGTCACCGAACCCAAAATAGGCCCTGGCACTGCAGCAGCGGACTGGATAAAAACACTGCACACGTTTCACCAGACGATGCGACTGCCTCATAATCAGTAAGCATAGAACAACAGGAAAAAAGCAGAATGAAAGCTCACAGTCTAAACGTTCTGTCAAAAAGTTTCTCATGATAAGAGCGTAATACATGGAGCAGAACGGAATGCATGTGGGCTTTGCGGCAATCCATCACCACCTTTTCACCAGAAATCTAAACCTGTTTTGTCCTTCATCTCTGGTAGTAAATACATTCATAAATCACTCAGCAACCATCTCACACCAGCTGCTTGCGACTGGGGACAACTTCTTACAGTGTTTGCAATATTCATATTCAGCCTCTGTTCAAAATAAACTCTGCGAGATGCTGGCGACTCTTTTTCCATGTCTTGGCGTGATTACATCTCTTGCCTAATCTGAATAAAAACTAACACCTTACCTTTCACACATGGAAAGACTGACTGTAGAATGCATTTTCAACACACATAATGAAACGGTTGTATGCAAGTGTGCTTCATCACAGTCACACTGTAGCCGTGTCTCAAAAGCTTTCATGCTACAAAATAATCAGGAACTCTCTACATAGGCTTTGCTCTAGACTGCCACTCTGGCTGTGTCATCCTCCTCTACACTGACAGTCTGCAGAGTGCTGACTCGCATTATGAGCCACTTCTACCCATGATGCTGTTCTTCCTGATTAGCTTAAGCTTACCTCGCAAGCCCTGGAATAACTCTTCCTCATCCCATTACTCCACAGCACAACACTACAGCCTGTGAATGTACAAAAAGGCCCCAAGGCTGCGAAGGGTGATGAAGGACTTTCTGTCCGAAACACCCTGTGTCTTCACAAACTCTATACCATATATATACATATATATATATATATATATATATATATATATATATATATATATATATGTATGTATATGCGTGTGTGTGTGTGTGTGTGTGTGTATGTGTATATATAATATGTCTTGGAAATGTTCCAGTATATGCATATATGTGTATCGGTTTGCCATCTGAATGACAAACTGAGTATTCGCTGGCCATTATAAAGTTACACATCACCTCCATGGGTGTCTGTCCTGTTTGCAATTTGTCTAAAAGCTGTGCCCGGGTCGGGAGAAGAATCTGAAAGTTCTGTACCTCTTTGGCTCTCTCCAGCTCGTTGTGCAGGGCCTGCTTGGAGATCTCCACCTCAATGATCTTCTGCCTGAGCATCTCGTTCTCATCCTCCGCCCGAGTGCGCTGGTCCTCCACACTCTCCAGCTCATTGTGCAGACGCACTGACACATCTTTGGCCACCTGTGGTCAGACGGACGCAGATGTGTAAGTGATTGTGGGAAACATCCAATTTAAGGTATACTCTGAAATGCCTTTTACATTTTTGAAAGTATCTCTCACTTGTAGCTCATTGAAAAGTGGAGAACGTTTGCCACAAGTGCAGGTTCTAAACTTTCAATTGATACTGCACTTTAAGGCCAGAGCACACCGGTGCAATGTTCTCCAAAAAACAATATGTTGGTTGGTGTCCTGTACCTGTATTTGATTCAGGTTCTAGACTTTTCTCCTCATTTCACATTGTTCAAGAATGTTCTACCCTATTCACACTGCTTTAAAAGGTTCTGCACGATTCACACTGTTCTACAATTTTCTCCATTCGTAATGTTCTAGAATGTTGCTGGCCAATGTTGATTTGGTGAGCATGATTTGAATTTGTCACTTTACAATACCTAACCAATAAAAAAGGTTGGAAGTGCAGACCTTAAGCTTTTGATACAGAATGTAAACCAAATATAAATGTAATTCATTATGTAACTACACATGTGATTAATTATGTAATTCTATAGAAATATGTAATTTAAACTGAAGTTATATCAAAATCACAATAATCAGCCTAAACATCCAGCAGTAACAGTAGAGAGGTAGATATGCTTTTATCACCATTACTGCACTTTTCTAAGGAGGATATGAAAGTTAACAGCAAAAAGCACATTTTTTGTTATTCTGTGGAAGAACGCATCAAAACACAAACATACACACACACCTTGAGGTCCTGCTCTAGGTTGCGGAGCAGTTCTCCATCCACATGGCCGGTCTGTGCTACACGCAGGCTCTTCTGCTCGGCCTTGCGCAGACGGTACTGGAGGATGCGGCAGTTCTTATTGGAGCGGTCCAACTCCCTGCGTAGCTCCTGCAGCTGATACACCTCCTCCTCCAGGTAACTGTCCCTGATCTCCTCCATCTCAGCTCGCAGCTCGTCCACTTCATCCTGACCACAAGCATGAGAGGCAGAATAGCAATCAGCATCAGAGTCAGTGTAAGAATCAACACATCAGAATTTGAAGCAATATCAGTACGACAGTATTAGAATCAGAACTGACGGATATAAAATCAATTTTCAAAATGAATCAGCATTAGAATCAGAACTGATGTCAGAATCGGAATCAGTATTCAAAATGAATCAGCATTAGAATCAGAATTGATAGAATCCAAATCAGTATTTAAAATGAATCAGCATTAGAATCAGAATTGATGTCAGGATCAGAATCAGTATTCAAAATGAATCAGCATTAGAATCAGAATTGATATCAGAATCTGAATCAGTATTCAAAATGAATCAGCATTAGAATCAGAATCATTATCGGAATCAGTATCAGAATCAGTATCAGCCTCAGCCACAGCATTAGGATTAGCAACTCTGAATCTGTATCGAGATCAAAATAAGCATTAGAATCAAAATCAGTATTAGAATCAATATCGGAAGCACAATTAGAATTATAATCTGCATAAGTATGAGAATCAGTACAAGAATCAAAATTAGCATTTGAATCTGAATTAGTCTCAGAATCAGAATTATAATCAGTATCACAATTGGAATAGTATCAGACTCAACATCAGAATTGGAATCATATCAGCATCAGAATCAGAATCTGCTTTCAAACAACTCAACATGTATATTTATCAACGAACCAGATCAAAATCAAGGCCAAGTTCTGCTCTCCCTGCTAGTCTACTGTTCGAATAACAACATGCAGCTCAAATATCCAAAACAAGGCTTAAATAGTGTGATATAGTGTAGACTCATTCTGTTAAAGTAACAGATTATACAGTCAGAAAGTACAGTAATCTTTATATATCTGGATTCCATAAGGATGCTGTATGAAAGGGGGCAGTATTCGGTACAGTGTCCTCTGATATGGGTGCACCTGAGGGCAGTGCCTTCATTATTTACACCACAACATCCAAACCATCATATACGACCTTCATGGGATGCTGGGGGACAGAGTCACATGACAGCATCACACTGCCATGTTCTCTCAGTCCACAGATGCGCCTGCAAAGCACTACTGTACTCTAAGTAGTTCATAGACAATATTGTGCAGAGTAAGTCCAGCTTTGTAACCAGGATTCGCCAGGATCATCATGGTTTCTGGCTCTGTAATATCAGGACTCAGGTGAATACTAGCCAGCTGGTTAATACTGGCTCATTGGGTCAATTAATGTGCACTGTCCCTGACAAACTGTCCCTGAAATTGTCTGATTAATACTGACAGATTAAGTGATAAATAGATATATAGACAGATGGATTCATTGATGATGGAATGAAGAAACAACAATTTTAAACAAACAAACAAATAGACAAACAATCATAAACAGGTGTAGCATGTACACATAATGTCTGCATAATTTTCTGCTACTGTAGCACCCAAATCCCCCCCTTAGGGATTAGTAAAGAACACCTAACTATATCCATCTACTAGGGATGTAACTATACAATGTATCATATCGTACAATAACATATCATATTACTCTTCTATATCATGGCTAGCTTGGGGCTAACATATTGGCCTGTGGCAAGCACGTTAGCACTTTAGCTTAGTTTTGAAGCTGCTAAGCCAGAAACCAGTATGAATAGGTCACACAATTCAAGTCTCAAATACTTTAGTATTAATAATGTTGAGTGAGCTAATAAACATATTAACATAAGCCACATTGTCAGGCACTCCTTATTTTTCAGCATCAAAAAATGAATGAAGACACCATTGTATGTTATCGTATGATGGATTTTGCTTACTTATCACCCATACACATCTAGCCTTGAAGGATGCATCATATTGATATCAGCAGATAATTGCTTAAAGAATATATAAGGACATATGTTTAGAATTGACCGATATTTCGAACTGATATTACATAATGTATTTACTGTACTCTGGAAGAGCAGAATGTTTTGGTGATGCTGGGCTACTGTGCTAAACTATGTGTATTTTATTCACTTTACTGATTTTGCAACCATAAAGAAATAAACGTTACATTTCTCTACAATGATAATCCAAGTAGACTGTTTATGTATTTACATTGACAAATATGCAAATGAAAAGTATTGGCAATCAGCATCAGCACACAGTTCACAACTGGTGCACTCCTACCATCCATCTATCCATCTGTCTATCTGTGCGATGTAGACTAAGACAGAGAGAGAGAGAGAATGAGACAAAGAGAGAGAACACACTGTACAATAAGTCATGGCAGGCTGCATCAGAGGGCTGGAAAGACATCAAATCTATCATCCCAAGCAGGGTAGCGTCCTATTAATTATCACACCATACCGCAAGCACTCAGGCTCATCCACAGCCGCTTCACTCTGCAGCACACAGTGCTACTGTCTGTCATACAGATGCAGAAATTCACCCAGGCTGGTCCCTGTAGACCAATATGACCTAAAAACCACTGGCTTACAATTCAAGGGTTTGGACCTTCTGTAGGTTTTACTGGGGCCAGTTTCTCAGACCCAGATTAAACTTGAACTAAATGGATTTCTAATGGTAAAATGCATTGGCATTGTAGTTTAGCCTAAGACAAAGCCTAATCCCTGTCCACGAAACCGGCCCTGGGAGTCATTTAGTGGTTGAGTGTGTAGGTTTAATGTGAGAGAGCAGAACATGAGGGATGGTTTATACTAGTCATAGACAAATTAAACAGAAATGTGTTAGTGGTTAAATCCTTCTTTCTGGAATTCTGACTTCCGATTCACTCGGAACAGATCAGAGCAGCAGTTACATTTTGACAATCAGCCCTTGGCCCTGTTAGAAATAGAGAACCAGCAGACTGTGTTGCAGACTGCAGTCAGACACTTACAGGCACTGCAGACCAGCCTGAGGAGAGGAGAGACGGAAGAGCACAGAAGAGTAGGAGAAGGAGAGCAGAAGGTGGCAGCTGGAGGAAAGAAGGAGAAGGAGAGCATGTGGAAGAGACAAGTAGAATGAAAGAAAGCAAATAGGTGGAGAAGAAGAGCAGAGGAGAAGGCAGTGGGGAAGAGGAAAAAGAGAGCAGGTGGAGGAGAGGAGGAGAACATTAGAAGAGAGCAGGAGAAAGAGAAAGAGAAGCAAGCTGGAGGAGACGTAGAGTGAATGGAAGAGAAAAAGAGCAAGAAGGAGGAGAAAGAGATCAGGTCAAAAAGAAGAATAGAGAAGAAGAAAAAGATGGAGGTGGAGAGGAGAAGGAGGAGAGAGGGAGCTAGAGGAGAAGACGGAGAGAAGGTGAAAGAGAGCAGAAAGAAAGCAGAAGAGCAGGTGAAGTGGAGTAGAGACGAGGGAAGAGAGAAGGAGAAAGTGGAGAAGAAGAGTACAGGAGAGGAAGGAGAGGAAGTGGAGGAGAGCAGGAAAAGATCTGGTGGAAGAGAGTAGTAAGAGAGAGGGAGAAAACGAACAGGTCGGGGGAGACGGGGGAAGAAAAGGGAGAGGAGGGTAAGGAGCAGATGAGAAGAAGGAGAAGAGAACCGGTGGAGGAGAACGAGGAGAACAAGAACAGGTGGAGAGCGAAGCCCTGCGCGCGCCCTTCACACGGGATTTACTCAGCCAGGCGGGAGCGCGCGCTTCCAGCAGTGCTAAACGCATATGGAGCAATACAGACAGTTGTAAGGCGCGTGCAGTGCAATGCAGAGCAGTGCAGTGGTCGACTCTCGCGCGCAGGTTACCTTGAGGTAGTCGTTTTCTGAGCGCAGCTCCTCGATCTCGCGCAGCAGCTCGTCCTCGCTCAGCTCTGGTCTGGCCGGTGCGCTCGCGCCCTGTTTGTCCGCTTTGCATTTGTCCGCCTGTCCTGGCGCGGGTGACGCTGGCGCCGCGGCTGCTCTAGTTGCTGCTGCTGATGTGGATGTGGCCGTTGGCGCGCGCGCCCGAGCCCCCGAGCTCGACGTCCCTTCGGCGGCGGCCGCATTGTGCTCGGAGCCCGAGCCGGAAGCGGCGGAGCCTGAGCACGAGCCGGACTCGGCGTCACTGCTGGCGGCCTGCGCGAGCCTTTGCTCGTCGGAGAGCGGCTCCGAGGCGCAGTCGGACAGATCCGAGCTGCTGTCGGTGCGAGCCACGCCAGTGCTGCCGGTGGGCACGCGCACCGGCGAGGCGAGGGCGAACGGGGGCGCGCGGGGCGGCGCGCTCGCTCTCCTGCCGCCCGTCTTGCTCTTGGCAGCCGGTCCAAGCGGCGGCGGCGGTTGCGCCGGCGCGGTGACTTTGCGCTCTGTTTGCGCGACCTTCGCGGCTTTTTTCGCCGCCGTCGCCCTCGCGCCGCTCTTCACCGCTGCGGTGGATTTGTCTGGAGTTCCAGCGCGTCGCGGAGGAGCTGTCACGCGCTGCTGCTGATGCGCGAGCGGCCTGGGCGACTTGGGCGGCGCGGAGGGAGGCGGCTTGGACGCGCGCGGATAGTGCGCCTCCTTCAACGCGGGTCTGGCCGGCGAGGGCGCGCGGTTCGGCCTGCGCTTGTGCGGCGGCGGCGGCGGCGGCGGCGCGTCTCCGCCAGAGCCATCGGCCGCGCGGTCGCGCTCCATCAAGGGCGACGGCCGGAGGTAGAAGAGAAGGAGGAGGAGGAGGAGGAGGAGAAGAGGAGGAGCGCGCGCTGCTCTTCTTCACTCCGGCCTCTCATCACCTCAGCACCGATTCAAATAAGCACGAGGGGAAAAGGAAGAGGAAAAGCAGAAGCAGAAAGAATCAGCGCGCGCTCATTATGAGTCCCGTATCAGAGCCGCGCGCTGCCTCCCTCACACATTCACACACGAATCATCCGCTCGGGATTCGCATCAGTCTGGAAATCGAGATGTGTGTGTTTCCGCTCCTCCCACTTTACGGTGTCCCCCGATCTCCGCTCGCGAGCTCTTCCTTCTTTCCTTCCGTCTCTTCTTCACTCACTCGCTCCTCCGTGTCTCTGAGATCTGACGGCGAAAAGGAAGAAAAAAACACTCTGCAGCCGCTGCGGTGTGACGCCCGTGCCGTGGTTTGCGCGGCGCGCATGCGCAGCAGCCTCCTGTAGATTCACGCACACACTCGCACACACCGTACACGCCCCTCGCGCTCGCTTTCAGCACATGCACGCGTGCGTGCGCGTGTGACGCGGTAGGGGTGAGGGGGTGCAGATCACTCTCGCTTTCTCACACATATACACGCGAGCACACACACACACACATACATATACATACAAACACACACACAAACGGTTATGTATACCTGTGCTGGTGGGGTGTTTTGTTGTCCTGTAGTCGATTCTTCATCATTTCTACATAGTTCAGTGTTTGAGATGTAAACAGTCATTCAGTGGTTTGATGTGAAGCGGTTCACTGTATAGAATCTTACAGACTTCGTTTACAGTGGAGCTGATCGGAACCAGAGGTTGTGATGATTACAACACTAATGCAGTCATTTTATTAACTACCCAAAACCACTAGTGAACATGACACATCTATTTTTTATCTGTAGTCTTGAAATAGTAGAGATGGAGAGAAGGTGAAAGAGCATGAGGAGAGAAGGAGAAGAGCAGGTGAAGTGGAGTAGAGATGAGAAGAGAGAGAGAGAGAGAGAGAGAGAGAGAGAGAGGTGAAGAAGAAGAGTATAGCAGAAGAAGGAGTGGTAGAGAGTAATAGAGAGTGAGAAGAAGAACAGGTGGTGGAGATGGGGGAAGAGGGAGAGGAGGGTAAGGAGCAGATGAGAAGAAGGAGAAGAGAACCGGTAGAGGAGAACAAGGAGAATAAGAACAGGTGGAGGGCAGGAGTCAAGAGAAAGAGAAGAACAGCAGATGGAGGAGAGCAAAACTCTGCGCAAGCCCTTCACACAGGATTTACCAATGTCTGCAACACAAACAACCAATTTATTAACTACCCAAAACGACTAGTGAACCTACCTGTCTTCTGATTTTCATATGTAATGTTCAAAATGGTGGTAAACCTGGGAAAAATATCTTTGGAGACTGTTTTGATTGCGTGTATCTCTCTGCCATGAACAGCTTTTAGAAATATGTATCAGGCCTAAAATTCCCTCTCAGAATTACTGTAAAAGTCAAACATCAGCTTATTCATAACCACTTCATGGTTCTGATTCAGTAACTTTCTCTAGAACAACGCATTTCACAGCAAACTACTCTGCAAGATTTTGTTTACGTTTTAATGATTCAATTATTGTGAAAATTTGAGAAATCAGTGGGATTCCTTTTTAACTGTTACATCTAAGTCAATCCTAACTTTTAACCTTGTTTACCTTTTTAAATAAAAACTGCATTTTTTAAACAAGTAATTATTATATATATAGCAGGTAGCTAAATGTCCTCATATGTAGAACTGAGTTCTAACCTTAACCATGTTTACGTTTTCAAATAAAAGCTACATTTTTTTAAATCAATTAATCAACTAATTAATAACCATAAACATTAGGTTTCCTCAGAAGGACCTGCTAAATGTCCAAACATGTTAAAATGGTTTGTGGTTTCCATCAACTTCATTTGCCTTAGAGGGCCAAAGTGCAATGTTTCTTATGAGCTGAGGGACAAAAAGACAAAACAGTATAGACAAAAAATTAAATTTAAGTTTTAAAAATGTATTTTATGGCTGTACACTATATTTTGTATTTATTTATTTTTTTTACTTTCTAGCGGGGAAAATCAAACCACCTCATGGGCAAATAATTCTGGGCAGCCCTGAACCAAACACACATGCACACACACGCAAACACACAGGGAAGAGAGGCGGTCTTTAGTTGTATTCAAATTCTGAACAGGCGTCTCTAATCACGTTTCACATTGAGAATAAATGAGATTAACAGTAGCTCCCTCGTGCCACTCAGCAGGATGAATGAGCAGGTGGTTTAAGGTCACTGTTCAGGACTGCACATGTCCAGCTCCTGCACACTGACTGCCCTTTTCTCCTGCAAATCCAAAAACACAACATGACGCCTGTGGTGAGATGCAAATGTATCCTCGGATCCACATACAGCAGATACAGACTCGATAAAGGACCCCAAATAAAAGCCAGCAGTGTCTTCCCTTCTCACAGAGCACTTAAACGCAGCTCGGCCGGTATGAAAGTGTGCAGCACTGTTCAACTATCTCCAGTTTACCACACCATCAGTGATTGATCCTGTCACAGAATTGCAGGATTCAGTACAATCTGATAGCACCATCTGTTGGCTTAAGAGAGGTACTGCATCTCTAAACAACATTAAAGAATATTTGTTTCAACATAATCTGAATCTGCTGCATGTCTTTTAGCAAGACATATTTCATTGAAAAGAAAAGCCACTGATTCATAACACATCTATTACATAGAAGCCAATGGGCAGGAGCTTTATTGTTGTTTTGCTTCTTTCACCAAGAACACGAAAACATGTTAAAATGATTGTCCCAGGTAATCGACTTACAGATCCAGATCGAGCAGATAGAGATTAAGTTGAAGAATTCAAGCTCTCAGAAAGAATCTCAGAATGTGCTCATATAGGTAATAAATATAATCTTTATTTGCACTTCATTAGTTCAAGAATGCCACAAGTTATAAATACCACAAAACTGCTTAAACATGCCAAACTGCTTCAAAAACCTAAAGTCAACCAAAATTTCTCAAACAAAATACTGTTCTTCTCCTTCACGTCTTAATGAGGGCACATTTTCTGTATTCCTTTCATTTCTGTATCATGGAGATTTGGAAAGGCAACAGTTATTGCTACTCAGGAAATTCTCAAAGTGGGCTGAACATTTTTTAAAAGTATAACTGATGAGGTGATGTGGGTTTTCCACGACACGCCCAATAACACAAGTCAAAACCACGGTACAGATTTACTGAGCTTAAAGGGGCTATTGCGCCATCATTAGATTAACAGCGGTTTAGCTTAATTGAACGCATAATTAACCCTGATTGCTCTGTCAAAACACACACAAGTCTAGTGATCTGCAGCTGAACTGCAGGTTCACCTATCAAGTAACATCATAATCTGCCAATGTGTTATATTTCCTTTTCCACACAACTAAACATTAGACCAAAATTTTGCACCATACTGTTAAATACAAACGATAAAACAGTTCCAGTTCTAAAATCTGATGGGTGAAGCGCCTTCAAAGGTGTTTAATTTTATCCTGTATTCATTTGCCAAGGTATTGAAACCATTTATGTGGCTTGGTGACCTTAGCCTACTCCCAATCAACTACACTGTTTGGCAGAAGAATTTTATTGTGATAATTATTAGTAAAATATTTATTTCTTGTTACTAAGAATGAGGCTAGGTGGAGGTCCATCCCCTGACATGGACAACACACTGCCTTTCATGCCTTATTCAATATTTGCATGAAAAAAAGTAATATTTATGTTTGATCCCTGTAGAGGATCTGTTAACATATTTTCACTTCAGCAAAACATGTCATTTGATCTGGGCTGTTCAAACTTTTGCATATGACTATAAGCCTAACTCCGCGATGGAAATTATTCCTAATTGTGAATAATATTCTTAATTCCTTTTTCCTTTGTAGCCATCACTGTAAAATATACATATTACAAAAACTTTAAGTCTACACGAAACTTAACCCCATTGTTTTAGCTGACAGAAAGTTCTCTGGCCTGATTAGGCTAATTTACACCCATCAAATTACCTGGGAAAAACACCCTAATCAATGATGCAACAGTTAACATTTTTGTCCTTATCAAATAATTCTGTCTTTAATTAATACTAGCCTGAAGCCTGCAAAACATGGTGATGGCAGTCCTACAGGTCTAAGTATGGAATATTAAAATGCTTGATTACAATCATCTTCCCTTAAACCTCAGCACAGCCTGTCTGTAGCAGGTTGAAGA